ATTGTAATCATTATAATGTTGATTTGGTATTCATATAAAAAATATCCAGAGGTAAAAGTAATACATTAATTAATGATATGATTATAAAATTGTATATTAATAATATTAATAATTTTTAGGGTAATAATATTGTCATTTTGAAACTATTTTTAATTCTTATTGACTTTATGTTGGATATTGCTTTTATATTCAATAATGGTAAAAATGTCCCACAACTATTTATACCAAGGTAATTTATTAATTACTTTTTTTTTTTGATTTATTGGCTATATAATATTAATTCATTTTTAAAATTATTTTTATTTAGTTTATTTATCTTGATATTGTCAATTATATTTAATTCCATATCAAGCATTATCATTGTTATTAATGAGATTAGTAATAATTATGAATTTTATGAGTGGTTCAAAAAATATGCCAATATTTTAGCAGTCTTTACAGTAATCTCAAGTACAGAAATTGATGCATTATTAATATTATCATCAAAAGTGGCTGGGTTGAAGCCATTTTCTGCTCCATTTTCATCCAATTCTTTATCATTGATATTTTGGTGTAATTTAGCAAGTTTTTTAATTGAAGATATACCACAATTTATTATTCAGGTTAGTAATTTAAATTATAATTAACACTTTGAATCATATGAATATTAACATTTTTATTATTTTTATTTAGATTATCTATAAAAATTCTATAATATCATATGACCTCATTCCATTTTTAACTTTGATAACTAGTTCAATTATTATTGCCAATAACATTATTACCAGATTATACAATATAATAATAAATGTTAAAGATAATTATAATAAAGTATCATCATCATCACCAATACAAGAAAAATCAACAGTAATTAGCATTGAAAGTATTGATGATGATGAAGATAGTAAAATTAAAGATAATATTAACAAAGTAATTAGGGAAAAAAGGATCATTTCAAGATATTCCGTCTAAAGAATTAATGTAACATACATATTATTAAATGTATTACATTTTTTTAAATTTTTTTAAAAATTAAAAATTATAGTAATATTAAAATTGTTAATTCTACACCAATAAAATAATGCATTTCGTTGATACTATGTAGAAAATTGAAAATTTGAAAGGTGTAACGGCAAACATAATGAGGGAATAATAATATCTATTTCTACTATCAATATCATTATTACAACCGTACATCTATAATAAACATTTTACGGTACACGCATCAAACGTTGTGCAAAATTACTTATAATCAATAACGTTATTATCGGTTTGCATTTTATTTAAATTAGAAAATTATTTTATTCACAAAGTTTATATTTCCCAATACCATAATTGATTGATATACGTGATGTAATATACATTCTTTTCAAAAAAAATAAACATTAATATAACATGTAAATAGGTGTTGATATTCATTAGCTCAATAATTAACAAACTTGTATATATATATTTTAAATATGACTAAACTACTTATAAAAATATTGTTAAGGAAAAACCAAATAACAAAAATGATTACAAA